GGCCCCTCCTTCCTGGGTCACAGACTGTGATCAAGTCTTATTGCCTGTCTCTGGGAATTCATTTCCTGTCTCTCTGTTCCACCTCTCTGGGGCTCCCCGGCCCTCCCCAGTCCCCCAGCCCCGTGCCCCCTCACGTCTGCCAGGCAGCTGGCTGCCTTCATTATTTTTACGCCAACACAGTTTAAAAAATCTCCGCTGCCTCCTTGCTGTCTGCGGAGATGCGGCTGCCACACTGCTCTGACATCCCGGTGTCATTAGGGCCCACGTACACTCTCCTCGGCTAATGAGGCGGCAGAAAGAAAATTAAGGGGGAAAATCACACAGGCACATTGCTCTGTATGTAGATGGAGAAATAAACCAAGAACAAGGAAAACAGAGGTGCGCTCCTGGAGACAGCTCACCTCCCTCCTCCCACCGGGGACGCTCGCACACGCACACACAGCTCTGTGAAGACAGGAAACGGGAGTGTGGTTTGTGGCTGCTGCTACCCCGGGATTCTCCCACTAAACCTCTGGTGCAGCTGGCGGTCCTGTGAGGTCGCTTTACCGCGTTCTGTCATCAGGCAAAAAGAAGACACCAAAACTTTGGGTCCGCACTTTCAGCGTGGTCGGTGCCCAGGTGAGGCAAGGCCAGAGATTTGCAGATGTTTCTAGAATCTGCCATTCTCGCCACCAACCTTCTTCTCTCCCCTCGTTCACGCTACCCGCATGCCCCGCCTGGATTTTCCACCAGTCCTCTCCTCTGGCATGTTCTCCACACTCGAGCTGAAATATCATCCCAAATACTCATTTGATCGCGTCACCTCTGCTGCTTAACATGATGCAACACGTTCCCCTTGTTCTTAAGACAAAGGCGAAAGCCCGTCACTCTTAAGACCCCTGCCTCTTGCTCCCTCTGGGCGGTTTCCTCCTAGCTACCGGGTCACCTTTCAACTGCATACATAGCAGTGCTCTGTCTGCCCCAGGACATTTGCCCGTGCTGTTCCTTCTGCCAGGAATGGTCCTTCTTTTATCCTTTACATGGCGGCTTCTTTGGCCTTCAGGTCCAGGCTCATTCCGCAGCTGCCCGGGGAGCCTCTTACCGCCCCCCCAGCCACGTCAGGCCCCCTGTTTGGCACTTTCAAGGTACAGTGGGCCTCGGTTTAGCAGCTTTCTGGCCGTGGCGACTTCACCTTGAGTGTGTCGTTGTCTGAGTCAAGACTGTCCTCCACTCTCGTGAGGCAGCTCTGTGAGGGCAGGAAATGCACATGCCACAGTTCAACACTGACTCCAACACGGAGCACAGTAGCTCCCTGAAATGTCTGTCGAGTGAGTAAGTGCTCAAGGGCTGCCTGTGGGAAGCACAGCCTACGTCTGCGGTCAGATGGCTCATTGCTGGTCCTGTCCTTGTGCTTCCTGCGCTCCTGGGCTGAGTCTGAATGATTTAGGCCGCCCGGCTCAGCGGCACAAGGAGAGAGAGACGTGAGCAAAGCGCTTCACTGCAGACCAGGCCTCCTCCGACCCGCGGTCCGCTGGTGACGGCTGCAGAACAAGTCAGGTCCACATGTGTGTGTTTAGAGAAACACTCCTGCCTACTCTCCTGCGGGCCGGGCCCCACCTGTCCCGACGCCTTCCCGAATTCAAACCTGGCTGCGGCCGGCCGCCGCGTCTGCACCTGCCCTGGAGTCCCGCCGTCTGACTCTGGCGTTAAGTAGCGGGCAGCCGGGTGGAAAGTCCTGGCTTCCTGTCAACACGCTTGCTTCCTAAGCTGTGACACCACTTTGATTTTCGGGGCAGAGCACTGCGCACGGCTCCGATGGATGCTTCGAGTCCGCCTGCCGCGGCGACGGTGCCTTTGTCTGGGCCTGGGGGAGCTGTGATTTATGTCATAAGCTCGCTGTGAAACCTTTGCCTCAGTAATTCTGAGCTCCGTGGGTGTCTCTTTACATCTATTTAAAGCACGGCTGCTGCCCACGGACGGCGTGCTCTGTGACATTCCCTGGTGCCTCTGTCTACGCCCCGCCATGGTGCTGAGTCTTGCCTGCAGAGTCGTTTTCAGTGTTTGCTGCGTGCTCCGCGAGTCTGCTGAGCGGAGTCGGGTCTGTCCCTTTGATGTCCTGCGTGGCGATCAGACCCCTTCCCCGGCGGACCGACCGCTTGCAGGGGCCTGGCTGCAGGAGCACGCTGCTTCCGTGCTTTGCCCTGCTGTCCCGGGGCAGGGCCACAACAACACAGGCGCTTGTGTCTTTGCTTAGAAGATTCTCAGTGGGGTGGTAAACGCGTTCCCCTTTGAAACCTGCTTCTGACCGCAGTGCTGGGGGCCGGGGGCTGCGGACCCCACCAGCGCTCCTTCCAGGGGCGTCCCCTCGAGGGGTGGGGAACAGCGCAAAGAAGTCAGATCCCCGTGTCCAAAGGTTTAACCCACAGGCCGCTGTGGCCCGGAGTCGCCGGCATCCCTGCACTCATTCAGCAAACAGGGACTGAAGATGTGCGGGTTCGGGCGTGGTGCTCCATGCAGGGGAGGCAAAGGCAGTGCGGCTGTTTTGTGAATGCCTCCGAGTATTAAGATCCCTCAGGGAGGCTCCAGTTCCTTCGCAGATGGCGTGAAATTGCAGACAGATCGTCACTTCTGGGAGCTAAGCACTTCCCAGGGCCTCTTGGTCCCTGCTATAACAAACAGCCTCCACATTCAAACCTACCTGCGGCTTGCAGCCCGCTGACCATGCTACATTCCTGTGGGGCTGGTGGAGTGGGGGGCGGATCCCAGGAGAGGGCCCCTCGGGGGTCCAGAGGGGGCGCCCTGTGCCTTGTCCTGCATCTCAAGGTCTAGGTAGGGTACTTCTTTTTTTTTTTACTGTTTATTTTTTATTTTTGAGACAGAGATAGAGCATGAACAGGGTAGGGGCAGAGAGAGAGAGAGGGAGACACAGAATCTGAAACAGGCTCCAGGCTCTGAGCTGTCAGAACAGAGCCCGATGTGGGGCTCGAACCCACGGAACTGTGAGATCATGACCTGAGCTGAAGTCGGACGCTTAACCGACTGAGCCACCCAGGCTCCCCATAGGTAGGGTACTTCTTACAGCTCTGAAGACAGAGTTCAGGCGCTAGACGCCCTGCCCCCAGGGATGATGCCCAGTGAGGTCGTGCCTGGGACTTGGAAACCCACAAAGATTGCATAATTCTAAGACCAACAAAGGAATATTTACTACTGGTTACTACTGAAACAAGTGGACCTTTTTTTTTTCTTTTAAAGAATTTGCCGCAAATATTTTTCACTTTTGGTCCATCGCGTAAAGTCACTTCTTTTGTCTTGCTTGTTTCTTTTTCCTTCTTTATGCAGTTTCACGCCCCGAGGGCTGAAGTATCTTGCTTTAATGCAAACGCAGTGTGAACTGGAGGGACAGCAGGTGGGTCTTGATCCCATTTTATTGGTCGATGAACTAAGACCAATAAAGTCTGGGACCCATTACAGTGTAAATGATGACTCAGAAATGTAAGTGTTATAGAATATAAAAGTGTGGGTGTTCCTTCCCTGTCAAGAGCCTGCCATACTGAGATCCTGCCACAGTGGAGTGCCACAAGAGAATTACTTGTCACTGTGATGGTGAGGTAATGAAACACTCAGGGAGTCCAGTGGGTGGGTTTTCCACGTTTCACCTACGTTTTGATAGACACACTTGGCAAAGTTAGCATTTGAGAGAAACGTGTGAATTTTACTATTTCAGCCCACCTGGAGTACTGTCCTTTATTTATTGATTAAAAAAATGTTTTTTAACGTTTATTTATTATTGAGAGACAGAGAGACACAGAGCATGAGCAGGGGAGGGGTAGAGAGAGGGGAGACACAGAATCCCAAGCAGGGTCCAGGATCTGAGCTGTCAGCACAGAGCCCGACGCGGGGCTCGAACTCACGCACTGTGAGATCATGACCTGAGCCGAAGTCTGGTGCCTAGCCAACTGAGCCACCCAGGCACCCCGAGTACTGTCCTTTAAAAGTAGTAGCTTTTCAGATATTTGTTCAAAACTTAACAGGCCAAAGTATGTCTCTTGCTTATGACTGGCGAGCCTGGGGATAATTTTTAAATCAAGCATGCTCGATTTGACATCTAATGGCACGACTTCCCTTCAGTGAAGTCTTTTATGGGGAGGACAATATCTTCTTATCCCAACCAATATTTGGGGAACTTTTGGAAACATTTTCCACCTTCTAAGTATTTTCTCTGATGGGACATCTTTAGTCGTCATCTTTATCATTTCAGGGTAGATCTGACACGTGGGAAAAGTGACAAGCTGCTCAGAGTGAAGTCTGCAAAGCGGGGTTGAGGTCCCAACAGAGCCCTGACCCAGCGAGGGGCATTTCACCTGCTTGAAACCCAGGTAGGAGACCGTCATGAGCCTGGCGTATTTCCCAGGAGTGTGGTGTGGACGGAATGACAAAGATCTGCAAACAGTGTGAAGTGCTTTCCTTAATCTCATCGGTAAGGTAGGTGGTCAGAGTGGGTATTTCGTTTCAGATCCCACAGGAGACCCATACCTATTGTTTACCAATTACACCAAGAGGTAAGCTGCCAAAATATTTTGGGCCATGATGACGTCGTGGAACTTAGTGCCTGGCATCACCAGGTAACTACTATGGACGGATACAGTCAGGTAGGCAACTTAATTTTCCTTTTTTCTTTTTTAAAGTAGGCTCCCCCAGGGTGGGGCTTGAACTCGCGACCCTGGGACTGAATCCCATGCGCTACAGACTGAGCCAGCCAGGCGCCCCAGGCAACTTAATTTTCTAGTGACTCCGGCCAGGAGGCTTTTGGGTCCTGCTCTTCTAAGTGTGGTCCCAAGACCAGCACCCTCGGCCTCACCCGGGAGTTTGTCAGACATGCACATCCACCCCACACCATCAGAAGTTGCATATGGGACCGGGGGGGGGGGGGGGGGGCGGGGGGGGGGTGGGGCGGGGGGGCCCTTGAATCTGAGACGCGGCGCGAGCCCCCCCGCAGCCCCGCCCCCGGGGGGCCCCCTTACCTTGGGGAAGGCGTCGGGCCACACGCTGGGGGAGCCGTGGTTGAGCAGCGCCTGCACCGTGCGCTGCGACGCGGCCTCCGCGGCGAAGGCTGCGGTCTGCAGCGCGCGGGCCAGCGGCGAGGCCCCGCCGTAGTCGAGCGCGCCCGCGTCGGCGCCGTGCCGCAGCAGGAGGCGCGCC